GTCTCCCACATTGCAGGTGGATTCTTTACCACGTGAGTCACAAGGGAAGCCATAAATTATGGTAAAATACACATAAAATTTTCTACTTAACCACTTTAAGTGTACAGTTCAGTGGTATTAAACACATTCTCATTGTCATAGAGCCATCACTACTATCCAGGCATAGAATTTCTTTCATCTTGCAAATCTGAAACTCTGTATTCATAAACAACTACTTCCCTCCACTTTGTCCCTGCAGTTCCTGGTAAACCTCTTTCTTGTTTCTATCTCCATTAATTGACCACACTAGGTACCTCACATTAGTAGAATCATATAGTATTTGTCATTTTTGACTGTTTTATTTCACTTAGCACAATGACCTCAAGGTTTTGCTGTGTTGTAGCATGCCTCAGAATTTCCTTCCTTGATAAGACTGAATAATATTGCATGAGCAACTACTGTGTATACTCTTACCATACACAAAATAGTTTAAATATTTAAATATAAGACATGACACCATAAAACCTCTAGAGGAGAACATAGGCTAAACATTCTTTGACATGACTCATACCAATGCTTTATGTCAGTCTCCCAATGCAATAGAAATAAAAAGAAAAAGAAACAAATGGGGCCTAATCAAATGTACAAACTTTTGCACAGCAAAGGGAATCATAAACAAAACGAAAAGGCAACCTATGGATCGGAGAAAATACTTGCAAATTTTGTGACCAATAAGTGCTTTATTTCCAAAATATACAAAGAGTTAATATAAGTCAACAACACCAACTGAAAAAATGAGCAGAAGACCTAAATAGACATGTCTATAAAGAAGACATACATTGGCCAACAGGCATATCAAAAGATGCTTAAAATTGCTAATCACTAGAGAAACACAAACGACACTGATACACTACTTCACACTGGTCAGGGTGGCCATCATTTAAAAGTCTACAAATAACAAATGCTGGAGAGGATGTGGAAAAAAAAAGGGTACTCTATTACCGTTTTGGTGGGAATGTAAATTGGTACCGTCACTATGGAAAACAGTATTGATGTTCCTCAAAAAACTACAAATAGTTTAATAAGGTCCCACTTGTTTACATCTGTTTTTATTTCTGTTACTCTAGGAGGTGGGTCAAAGAGGATCTTGCTTTGATTTATGTCATCATAAATCGAGTGTTCTGCCTATGTTTTCCTCTCAGACCTTTACAGTTTCTGGTCTTACATTTAGGTCTTTAATCCATTTTTAGTTTACCTTTGTGTATGGTGTCAGGAGGGGTTCCCTCATAGCTCAGTTGGTAAATCATCCGCCTGAAATGCAAGAGACCCAGATTCATTTCCCGGGTCAGGAAGATCCCTTGGAGAAGGAAATGGCAAGCCACTCCAGGATTCTTGTCTGGAGAATCCCATAGACAAAGGAGCCTGACAGACTACAGTCCACGGAATTGCAAGAGTCAGACACGACTTAGTGATTAAACCACCACCACCATGGTGTTAGAAAATGGGTGTCAGGAAGAGGGTGAGATATATGGAAAGAGTAACATGAAAACTTACGTTACCATATGTAAAATAGACAGCCAACAGCAATTTTCCGTGTGACTCAGGAAACCCAAACAGGGGCTCTGTATCAACTTAGAGGGGTGGGATGGGGAGCGAGTTGGGAGGGAGAAAAAAAAAAAACTACAAACAGAGTTGGCATATGGTCCAGCAAGCCCACTCTAGGGCATATATCCAGACAAAAGTGTATTTCAAAATACACAGGCACCCCTATGTTTACAACAGCACTATTCAGAACAGCCAAAACATGGAAGGAACCTATTAATAAATGTGCATTAATAGATGAATGGATAAAGAAGATGTTTGTGTGTATATCACTTCAGTTCAGTTCACTCGCTCAGTCGTGTCTGACTCTTTGTGACCCCATGAAGCACAGCACGCTAGGCCTCCCTGTCCATCACCAACTCCTGGAGTTTACCCAAACCCGTGTCCATTAAGTCAGTGATGCCATCCAACCATCTCATCCTCTGTCATCCCCTTCTCCTCCTGCCCTCAATCTTTCCCAGCATCTGGGTCTTTTCAAATGAGTCAGCTCTTCGCATCAGGTGGCCAAAGTATTGGAGTTTCAGCTTCAATCTCAGTTCTTCCAATGAACACCCAGGACTGATCTCCTTTAGAATGGACTGGTTGGATCTCCTTGCAGTCCAAGGAACCCTCAAGAGTCTTCTCCAACACCACAGTTCAAAAGCATCAATTCTCCTGTGCTCAGTTTTCTTTATAGTCCAACTTTCACATCCACACATGGCTACTGGAAAAACCTTGACTAGATGGACCCAGTAATGTCTCTGCTTTTTAATATGCTGTCCTGGTTGGTCATAACTTTTCTTCCAAGGAGCAAGCATCTTTTAATTTCATGGCTGCAATCACCATCTGCAGTGATCTTGGAGCCCAGAAAAATAAAGTCAACCACTGTTTCCCCATCTATTTGGCATGAAGTGATGGGACCGGATGCCATGATCCTAGTTTTCTGAATGTTGAGCTTTTTTTTTTTTTAATGTTGAGCTCTCGGCCAACTTTTTCACTCTCCTCTTTCACTTTCATCAAGAGGTTCTTTAGTTCTTCTTCACTTTCTGCCATAAGTGTGGTGTCATCTGCATATCTGAGGTTATTGATATTTCTCCTGGCAATCCTGATTCCAGCTTGTGCTTCCTCCAGCCCAGCGCTTCTCATGATGTACTCTGCATATAAGTTAAATAAGCAGGGTAACAATGTACAGCCTTGACATACTCCTTTTCCTATTTGGAACCAGTCTGTTGTTCCATGTCCAGTTCTAACTGTTGCTTCCTGACCTACATACAGGTTTCTGAAGAGGCAGGTCAGGTGGTCTGGTATTCCCATTGCTTTCAGAATTTTCCACAGTTTGTTGTTATCCACACACTCAAAGGCTTTGGCATAGTCAATAAAGCAGAAATAGATGTTTTCTGGAACTCTCTTGCTTTATCGATGATCCAGTGGATGTTGGCAATTTGATCTCTGGTTCCTCTGCCTTTTCTAAAACCAGCTTGAACATCTGGAAGTCCACAGTTCATGTATTGCTGAAGCCTGGCTTAGAGAATTTTGATCATTACTTTACTAGCATGTGAGATGAGTGCAATTGTGCGATAGTTTGAGCATTCTTTGGCATTGCCTTTCTTTGATATTGGAATATACATATACATATATATATGTAATGAAATACTACTCAGCCATGAAACAAATGAAATAATGCCATTTTCAGCAACATCGATGGACCTAGAGACTACCATAATAGGTGAAATAAGTCAAAAAGACAAACATCATATGATACCACTTATATGTGGAATTTAAAATATGACAAAAATGAACTTATCTACAAAACAGAAATAGACTCACAGACAGAGAGAACAGACTTATGGTTGCCACAGGAATGGAGTGGTTGGGGAGGGATGGACTCAAGAGTGTGGGATTCACAGATTGAAATTTTATGTATACAGTGTATAGACAACAATGTCCTACTGTATACCACAGGGAAGGATATTTAATATCCTGTAATAAATCATCATATCCAGAAAAACATCTACTTCTGCTTTATTGATTACACCAAAGCCTTTTGATTGCATGGATCACAACAAACTGTAGAAAATTCTTCAAGAGATGGGAATACCAGACCACCTTGCCTGCCTTCTGAGAAATTTATGCGCATGTCCAGAAGCAACAGTTAGAACTGGACATGGAAAAAAAAGACTGGTTTTAAATCAGGAAAGGAGTACCTCAAGGCTGTATATTGTCACCTGCTTATTTAACTTATATGCAGAGTACATCATGCAAAATGCAGGGCTAGATGAAGCACAAGCTGGAATCAAGATTTCCAGGAGAAATATCAATAACCTCAGATATGCAGATGACGCCACCCTTGTGGCAGAAAGTGAAGAGGAACTAAAGAGCCTCTTGATGAAAGTGAAAGAGGAGAGTGACAAAGTTGGCTTAAAACTCAACATTCAGAAAACTAAGATCACGACATTCGGTCCTATCACTTCATGGCAAGTAGATGGGGAAACAATGGAAACAGTGGCAGACTTTATCTTTTTGGGCTCCAAAATCACTGCATATGGTGACTGCAGCCATGAAATTAAAAGACGCTTGCTCCATGGAAGAAAAGTTATGACCAACCTAGACAGCATATTAAAAAGCAGAGACACTGCTTTGCCAACAAAGGTCTGTATAGTCAAAGCTATGGTTTCTCCAGTAGTCATGAATGGATGTGAGAGCTGGACTATAAAGAAAGCTGAGCACTGAAGAATTGATGCTTTTGAACTGTGGTGTTGGAGAAGACTCTTGAGAGTCCCTTGGACTGCAAACAGATCCAACCAGTCCATCCTAAAGGAAATCAAACCTGAATACTCATTGGAAGAACTGATGCTGAAGCTGAAACTCCAACACTTTGGCCACCTGATGTAACGAACTGACTCATTGGAAAAGACCCTAATGCTGGGAAATTTGAAGGTAGGAAGAGAAGGGATGACAGAAGATGAGATGGGTAGATGGCATCACTGACTCGATGGATTTGAGTTTGAGCGATCTCCGGGAGGTGGTGATGAACAGGGAAGCCTGGCATGCAGCAGTCCATAGGGTCGCAAAGAGCTGGACATGACTGAGTGACTGAACTGAAAACTGAAATAAATCATAATGGAAAAGAATATGAAAAAGTATATATATGTATATATATAGAGAGATAAATCAACTAAATCAACTGAATCACTTTGCTATATACCAGAAACTAACACAACATTGTACATCAACCATATTTCAATATAAAATAATTTTTAAAAAATCTGGCAAGTGATGAGAATATCTATTGAAAATACCTGCTGTTAAAAACATGCTCTATTGGAGGCAAAAGAATAAAAATTTTCATCCAATGTGAAAACAAACAAAAATCAAATTAAAATCAATCAAACTTAGATGCCTTATAAAAAGAAGATGTGAGAATGCTTTGATGTGCATACCTGTAATATGATTGACATTTTCTTCCTTAAATTGTGAAGTCCAGTATCTCCTATCCAACAATAATCAACCCAAATAAAGCCTTCAGGTTCTGACAATCGAAAAACTGAAGAAAAAAGAGAACTTTTTCCAGCTCCTGTTCTTCCCACAATGCCAACCTGTAATGAGATACAGAAGGGATTAAGAATTAACAATATGCAACAAACCTAGGAGAAACCCTGCCAGTTGAGGAAGAATTTTTAAAGTTCTATGCAGAATGTTGTCTAAACATTTCTCAGTCATGGCAACTGTTGAAATTTGGGGCCAGATAATTCATTATTGGGGGATAATTAATTATAGTTGGTTTTGTCTGGATATATGCCCAATAGCCTGCATATTGTAGGGTTTTCAGTAGTATCTTAGAGTCTAACCACTAGAAACCAGAAACATTCCCCACACTGTGGCAATCAAAAATGTCAGACATTGACAAATGTCCCCTAGTTGAGACCCCATGGTTCAAATAAGAGTTAAAAATAACAGAATCGATCAATAGGCAGTGAAAAGCCAGCAGTCTCCTAAGTGAGCCATAAAAATTAGTTTAAATTATCTTTATTCCTAATGTTGGAGTATTTCTACTCTGAGAATTATGAGAATACTATGAGAATATACTACTATGAGAATTATGTGGATAATTTCACAGCAATGTCAACAAGGCAGAAGTGTTATACACAAAATAACTGTTCATTTTCTGAGGGTTCTATTATTTGAGAGGAATTTTTTGGTAGAAAAACTAAGTCACTTACTAACATTAAATACCTTAATTATTCTCTGTCCTTGAAGGAAACATCTTGCAATTGTAAAATGCAGGTCTCACTGTCTTAATGGCAGCAGCCAATAGGCAAAATTCACATAATGAGATTAACAATATAATTAACATTTGCTATTTATACGGAACCTTTCATCTCAGCACGTCAAAAGCAATTTTAAAAACCAGTTGATACAATCACATCTTAGAAAGACACATGTGACTCATCGGTCTATTTATTCAAACCAAAGCAAAGAGAAATTAAGTGCACTAACAGTATACTCAAAAATCAACATAAAGCATAGACAGGAGCCCGGCAGGCTACGTACGGTCCATGAGGTTGCAGAGTCGGACAGACTAAGCAGATACGAGTTAAGAAAGCAGGTAAAATGCTGCTGAAGAATGAAACTGTGTTGCAAAAGCTAGCTTTTAGCTGAATGCATTCAAACACGTATGCAGAAACTGACTATTTTTTTTTTAAAACCAATGAGTTTGCCCAAATGATGATTCCTGGTGGAAGCTTCCCAAGAGATAATTTCATTTCTGGTTAAGAATCTGGAGTCAGTGAGGGATGAAAGACATGCTTTCAATCATTTGCAAATTAATTCAGTAAATTTAAAAAACTCAATTCTTTAAACAGAGTAGTTAGACCTTTCTGAGGACAGATTATATGTTTGGATTGTCACATATAATCTGTATAATCAATAATGATATTAAAAAAAGAATTTATCTTTATAGAAATTAAATATAACAGTCAGACACGACTGAGGGACTAAAAAATACACACATAACAAAACAGACTTCAGTTATTTTGGTAGCCATTTTGTACCTTATGGTAAACTGTAATTTATGTAATTTAAATAGGTCATTCTCTGCATACAGGTAGGTTTTAATGTGTATATATGTGACTTATAGGTTCTGTGTAGAGGCAGACTTCGAAGATATTGTAGATTTCGTTCCAGACCACCTCAATAAAGTGAATATCACAAATAAGGTGATAAAAATAAAAAATATTTTTCTTTCTCTGTGCATATAAAAGTTATACTGTAAGGTAGTTTACTAACTGTATAATAGCATTATGTCTAAAAAACAATGTATTGATGCATACCTTAATTTTCAAATACTTTATTGCTAAAAAGCACTAACCACCAGAGCATTCAGCAGACTGTAATAACAATGAAGACCACTGGTCACCATAAAAAATATAATAATAATGAAAAAGTTTGAAATGTTGTGAGAATTACCAATATGTGACAGAGACAGAGTGAGAAAATGTTATAGGAAAAATGGCACCAGTGAACTTACTTGATACAGATTTGGCACAAATGTTCAATTTGTAAAAATTGTAATATATGTGAAGCACAATAAAACCAGTTATGCCTGTATTTCCCAGTGTTCCAATGTGTAAACTGACACAGCTCAGGACACAGGTGAGAACTGTGTCTGTGAGAATATATATACCTATGCTATGAATATTCCTATGAATATATATACATATATAAATGTATATACATATATATTCCTATCCTACCAGCTCCAGTGAAATTGATTCATGTGTTCAAACTGCAACATCTGTAGACTGTGTAAATGACTGAGATATGCAGGGCACTGAGAACTGCTCACAACCACAGGACTGTGAGCTTCAATCTCCAGTGAGGAAAATAAGAAAAACACAACTCAAAGAAAACATGGCTCTGGCTATTTCTACCTTTCAGTCATCAACACTACAGGCTGAAAGTCTTTCATGGTCACAGATGGGTTTTACCAATTGCCTATGGAGATCACCATATCAGCAAGTTTGCATTCCTAACACAAAATTCACAACAAAAATCTTATTTTAGCAGCTTTGTGAATGCCTGTTTTTCCAAGAGGGTCAGGGTTGGTCTCTGACTGAGTCAGGAAGGGACCTAAGACCCTTTGCTGCAGTGCTTATACCGGACAAACATCTCCTCAAACAACAAAACACAAAGAAATTGTAAGAGACTAAAAATAACTGTGTATGTGCATTAGTTGCTCAGTTGTTGCAGACTTTCTGTGACCCCACAGACTTTAGCCCACCAGGCTCCTCAGGCCATGGAATTCTCCAGGCAAGAATACTGGAGTGGTTGCCATGCCTTTCTCCAGGGGATCTCTCTGACCCACGGATCAAATCCGCATTTCCTGTATCTCTTGCATTACAGGCAGATTCTTTACTGCTGAGCCACCAGAGAAGCCCATGACATCCCTTATACGGGGAATCTAAAAAGACGTGATAGAAGGAGAGGGAGGTGGGGGGGGGGGGATCGGGATGGGGAATACATGTAAATCCATGGCTGATTCATGTCAATGTATGACAAAAACCACTACAATAATGTAAAGTAATTAGCCTCCAACTAATAAAATAAAAAATAAAAAAATAAAACTATCTCAGTTAAAAAAAAAAAAAAAAAGAAGTCAATGTATTTACAAGACAGAAACAGACTCACAGACTTAGAGAAGAAACTTACGGTTGCCCAAAGGAAGGCTGTGGGGAAGGGATAGTTAGGGAGTTTGGGATCTACATGTACACATCACTATATTTAAAATGGATAATCAACAAGGACCTACTGTGTAGCAAAGGAGATTCTGCTCAATGTTATGTGGCAGCTTGGATGGGAGTGGGGTTTGGGGGAGAATGGACATATGTATATGTATGGCTGAGTTGCTTTGTTGTTCGCCTGAAACTATCACAACATTGTTAATTGGCTATACTCCAATACAAAATAAACAGTTTTAAAAAACCTCTTTCCTTAATCGTAATTGGTGTAAATGAATCTGAAAAGTCAATAAATACTAGCCAACACCCCAGCACTCTGATAAAACCATTTGTAAGATGCTGATGTGTTTTCTTTCTAGATTTGAATGTGTGCTCTTTTTTTCCTGTTATTTCTGTGCTGTTGTTTAGTCAATTAAGTCATATCTGATTCTCTGTGACCCCAACGACTGTAGTCCATCAGATTCCTCTCTCCATGGGATTTCTCAGGCAAGAATACTGGCGTGGGTTGCCATTTCCTCCTCCAGTGGATCTTCCGGACTCAGGGATAGAATTCACTTCTCCAGCTTGGCAGGCTGATTCTTTACCACTGAGCCACCAAGGAAGCCCTTATTTCTATATATGTGTCCTTAAAGATAAAAGTTCATATATTTAATCAAAATGGAATTAATAGTAACATATTGTTGTAATCTGTTTTTAACATTTCAAAAAAATATTTTAATGGCTATATAATATTATAGTACATGTGATCATTTACTTAACAAATCACCTATTGTTGGATATTTAAGGTGGTCTCCAATATTTTGCAGTTATAAATAACTGGTTATATATTCCTGAAGCTAAATCTTTCTAAACAACCTTAATTATTTCCTGAAGATAAACTCTCAGATGTGGAATTGCCGAGAACTAGGTATGAACATTTTTTGAGAAGGCTGTTAAGTACTGCCAGCCTACCTCTCAGAAATAGGATACCATTTTCTACTCCTACTAGTTTCCTTGCACATTCACAAACCCGTGTGTTATAACTTTGTTTTAATCAACATCAGTTTGATCCCAAAAGGTAGAATCAGTTTCCCATGACATCTTGCTGGAGGTAAAACTGGCTCTCTGTCTCCCACATCTGCCTACTCTGGTCCATGTGCACTCACTTCTCAGACTAAACTCCCAAAGGCCAGCTTTATGCCTGACATGTGCCCCAGGAAGTCACCTGTACAAAACTGTACTCACAAATCTCTCCATCCTTCACCTCCACAAGTCAGCTCCTTGGGTTTTCTGGGTAGCTATGAGGATTGAATGTGAATATGTGTGTTATACACTGGGTGGTTCTTTTCCCTGAATGCTCTGCAGATGCCTAACTCTTCATTCACTGAATCAGGGCATCATGACTTTGCCAAAGTTGGTCCCTCCACCTGGAATGACTTTCACAAATGTTTCCACCTACTGAAATCCTAGCAGGTCACTAAGTGTATTTCACATGCCTAATTTCTCAGAAATACTCTACTTGTTCCCTTAAGTGGACTTCTCTCAACCCTAATGGATGTTATATCATCTTTTCTAAACTCCTATAAAAATTATAATTGCTTTCTATATTACAAAGGTGATACAGGCATTTTCTTATTTCTTCAAGTGAACTGTATGTGCTAAAAGCACGATCTGTATTGAATTTGCCCTTGTATTATATGTATTACCTGTGCTATCCTGAGACAGAGACTTTCATAGGGAGCTGAGGTTTTTAACTCAGACTGAAGAAATTTATGGGTAATCTATTACTATATTATTTAGGTATAGGATAAGCTGGACAGAGAAATAGATATGGCAGATGAATCCCATAGTCATAAATATGATTGCAAATGGCCAACCCC